CAGCAGCGGAACCTAAGGGAAGGGTAGGCGCAACTTCCTAGACACTTCCTAGACACTTCCTAGAACAGGAGTGGAACCTAAGGGAAGGTAGGGTGAGGCAGACTTCTCCACACACACACGAGGTGGCGGGGCAGGGGCCGGGCTAGTCCCTCGCGACTCCACGTCTAGACGACAGGAGCCGCACGGCATTCAAGGTGCGCGTGGGTGAGGTGTGTGTGTGTGTCGTGTGTGTGTGTGGGGGGGGGGGGGTGAGGTGTGTGTGTGTGTGTGTGTGTGTGTGTGTGTGTGTGTGTGTGTGTGTGTGTGTGTGTGTGTGTGTGTGTGTGTGTGTGTGTGTGTGTGTGTGTGTGTGTGTGTGCGCGCGTGTGTGTGTGTGTGGGTGTGTGTGTGTGTTTGGGGGCTCCTCTCTCAACCAACGCGAAAGAGCCGGCCTTCTAGGAAGTGTCCTAGGAGGTGTCTAGGAAGTGTCTAGGAAGTTGCGCACCTCGCTCACGAGCGCAAAGGAGCCGGCCTTGCGAGCCGCAGGGATCTCCTATCCTCCGAGATATGGCCGAGATACAGCCGGAGATGCGGCCGAGATTCGGCCGTGCAGAGAGAGGGCGAGGGGGGGGGGGAGGGAAGAGAGAGAGAGAGAGAGAGAGAGAGAGAGAGAGAGAGAGAGAGAGAGAGAGAGAGAGAGAGAGAGAGAGAGAGAGAGAGAGAGAGAGAGAGAGAGAGAGTGAGAGAGAGAGAGAGAGAGGCGTGACACACGACCAGAGAGCGAGGGGGGGAGAGACGCGGCTCCTTGAACAGCGCCACGGGCGCCATGAAGAACAAGCAGGCCGGCGCGGTGTACACAAGCGCCTGGGTTCGGGTGCCATGGGGTAGGGGGAGGGCTAAGTAGGGAAGTGTGGGTGTGGGTACCGTGAGGTAGGGGAGGGTGGGTTCTGGTACCGTGGGGTAGGGGAGAGTGGGTTCGGGTGCCGTCGGATGGACGAGGAAGAGGAGGAGAGGTGGATGAGATGTGGAAGAGAGGAGGAGGAGAGGTGGAGGAGAGGAGGAAGAGAGGAGGAGAGGAGGAGGACAGGTGGAAGAGAGGAGGAGGAGAGGAGGAGGAGAGGAGGAGGAGAGGAGGAGGAGAGGTGGAGGAGAGGAGGAGGAGGCCTCGAACGAGCCCATCTTTTGGTTCTTGAGCAGCTTTTGCGCAATCACGAGCCGGAGCGCATCCGAGCAAGACGCCATCGTCATAAAGAGAACCCCGATGAGCGAAAAGTTGACCTGCTCACACGGCTTGCCCGTGTGAACCAGCGCCGTCCTCGTGAGCTCGCACTCCGATGACACCCAGAAGGGGGACTGGCCTGCTCACAGCGCCCTTCGTGAAGGCGCCGTGCATTGTGTCGCATTGCCGTGCAGTGAAGTCCAGACGGCTCGCCTCGCCCGCCGAAGCGATGCACGTGCACACCGACAGCCCGAGTACGCACCGGATGACGCGGTTGGACGGCCGCTCCACGCCTGCTCACGGCCTTCGTGTCTGCTCGCCGCATCCACCCTCTCTTTCTGCCCAGTTGGACGGCCGCTCGAAGCCTGCTCACACGGCCCATCTTGCTGGCGCATTCCACTCTCTTTCTGCCCAGTTGGACGGCCGCTCGAAGCCTGCTCACACACGGCACGTCTTGCCGGAGGACCGTCCCCCGTCGCGCTACAACCGGCGGCTCCGCGCCGAGGCAAAAGAGGAAGCAGATCATGTACGCCGGCGAGAAGGCCTTCAGCATCTGGATGAAGGCCACGGTCAGGTAAAAGTACGGGTACTGGCCGAGCACCAGCGCCAGCGCCGAGACGCAGCCGAGCACGAGCAGCGTGGTGGCGCCGATCTTGCGGCCCGTCTCGAGGCTCTCGCCCGTGATGAAGACGACGACGGCGGCGCACAAGGCGGTGGCAACCTGCGGGGTGAAATGCCGCACCTCCAGAGCATCGAACCCAGTGTGGGTTCAGTACCGTGGGTGGTGTGGTAGCAGTGGAGTCCACCGTGCCCGGTGAAATGCGCCGACATCAGGGCGGGGAGACGGTACTGTGCAGTGCATTCGTAGCACCGCGTGAATGTGACGGGCTACGAGTCCAGCCAACGCGGCCGAACACGGCTGAACAGAGTCGAGTGCGTGCCCCCTCGAGCGCTAGTTGGGATGCAAGAACACGTACTCCGCTCCTAGGCTGCGCTGCCAGATATGGGGGAGATATGGGGGAGATATGGGGAGATCTTCTGCTTCTAGGCGTGGAATACCTGCCCCATCGCAGACACCATCACCGGGTATCCGAAGCCCTTGTCCTTCATCAGGATCTTGTTGGCCATGATGGCCACGGGGGAGGCGATGAGGTAGAGCATCGTGTACAGCAGCGTCACCAGCACGCTCCGCGAGAGGAACCGCTGCGCGCCTGCGCGGTGATGAGTACGCCAACCTTAGGGTATTGTGCGGTAATGCGCAGTGCCATTCAGAGCACCGCGTGCATACGGGGGGGTACGAACACAGTGAACACAACCGAATACGGCGGAGTACAGTTGAATGCGTGTCCTCCTCGAGCGCTAGTTGGGATACACGACTGCGCATGCACATTGAGGCAGGCAGTGAGGGCGGGAGCGGTGACGGCGGCGGCGAGGGCGGTGGTGAGGGTGGGGGCGGCGAGGGAGGTGGGCTCGGCGGCGGAGGTGAGGGAAGCGGTGAGGGCGGGGGCGGCGACGAAGGCGGCGAGGGCAGTGGTGAGGGCGGGGATACAAGAATGCGCATTCCGCGTCTAGCGCTGCGCGCAGTACGCGAAGATGAGGAAGAAGGAGAAGGCCTGACGGGTTAGGGTTAGGGTTAGGGAGGAAGGAGGAGTTGGCCTGTCGTGCGCAACCCGACCCGTGAGTGGCTGTGGACGTGTGGAGGCGGAGAGGAGGCGGCTCAGAGAAGGAGGGCGTCCTACGCGAGGGAGCAACGGCGGGAGATTGCGGGAGACTGCGGGGAGATTGCGGGAGATTGCCCATTACCTACGCCAGGAAGCGAGCGTCCGTCTTTTGAGGGCCTGGTCAACGGCGACAGGCGAGGGCGAGCAGGGGCGAGATTGCCCAGCCAATCGCGGCGAGCGGCCCGAGATTGTCCATTACCTACGGTTAGGGTTAGGGTTAGGGTTGGGTTAGGGTTAGATTGACCACGCGGTGCTGAATACGCCAACATGAGGGCGGGAAAACGGTATAGCGCAGTGTCTTCAGAGCACCGCGTGAATACGAGGGAGGCGACGACAGCTGAATGCGGCCGAGTACAGCTGAGTCCGTGTCCTCTCGAGCGCTACTAGGAGTACACGAATACGTACTCGGCTTCTAGCAGCTTCTAGGCTCCGTGACCAAGTCGTGAAACTGCTGCAACCTCAGCCGCTTCGCCAGCGCGGACTCGCGCCGGTCGACGCCGCCGATGCTCGGCGCCCGCGCCACCACCGAAGGCTTTAGCGGCACCTTCCACTCCTCCTCCTCCTTGGGGCGCACCTGCAGGGAAGGCTCCGGGAAGGCTCCCGGAAGGCTCCAGGGAAGCGCCGCCCGGGCAACACGCCGCCGTCGGATCGGCCGCGCACCTCGCCGTGGGAGTGGGAGCGCGTCCCGCCGCCGCCGTCCGTCGCCCGCCGCGTGGAGCTGTCCGGCGCCGCGTGCACGCTGCCGCTGTGGCTCGCCTCGGGCGTAGCCCCGCCCTGTTCTCTGGCGACCTCCGCAGTCGACGAGGCGTCGGGGTCGAGCCTGCGCTCCTCCGCCACAGCGGCCGCCGCCTCCGCCGCAGCGACTGCCGCCTCAGCCGCAGCGACTGCCGCCTCCGCCGCGAGCGTCTGCGCACCGGTTGACGCGCGCTCCAGACCTAGGTGGTCACTGCCCGCGACGCTCGGAGCCGTGGCGCCGTGTGCGCGGAGCAGCGCGAGCAGTGAGAGGAGGGCGAGCGCCGGGACGGCGAGGCGCATCGCGCGGCCGCCAGTGAATGGCCGGCGAGCCCGTGCTGCAGGCGCTCTTCCTCCTGCGGGGCTGCGAATTCTGCCGGCGGTCGGCACACGGTGCGCTGACTCCCGCGGCGCCGCTTGCGACTTAGCACGCGGCCCTCCGCCTCGACCTCCTCCGCCCCCTCCACCTCCGCAGCCGCCGAGAGAGAGAGAGAGAGAGAGAGAGAGAGAGAGAGAGATTCTCTCTCTCCGCAGCCGCCGCCCCTGCCTCTGCCGTCTCTGCCCTCTGCTGCCGCCACTGCTCCTCCTGTGACGCAACGCCATTCTGTCGCTGTCCTTGTCGTACCGGTATCAGCCTCTCTAAGAGCATCCGGGACGACTCCACCCTTCATTCCTGCTGCGCTGCCGCGAGCTACGCTGGGGGCTATGTCGCGTGTGGCGCTGCTGGCGGCTGCGCTGCTTCCTTTGCGGGCGTCGCGTGCGGCGCTGCTGGCGGCTGCGCTGCTTCCTTTGCGGGCGGCGCGAATGGCGGCGCGGCCGGCGGTACCGCTCGCGTCGGGGCGAGTGGCGAGCCCCTCCTCTACCGCATTCCGAGAAGGAAGGGCGAGGTCGAGTGCAACGCGACGAGATGGCAGGAACTCGCGGCCGAGGAGGAAGCCGAGCGGCAGCGCAAACGGGCGCGCGAGGAGGAGGCGTGGCGCGCGCAGCGTGAGCGCATCGCCAAGAAGACGGTGGCGCTGCAGGGGCACGACGAGGCATGGGCGCGCGCGAGGGTGGCCCACGTCGGGCGCGCGCACTTGGTGGCTCGCGCGCTCGACGCGCACATCGAGCGGCACTGGCGGCCGAGCGGCGGCGCGTTTGCCTACTACGAGTCGTGCAACATCGTCGACGAGCTCGACGCTGGCGTCGGGTGCAAGTGCGAGTCCTTCCTGACAAAGTTCGGCGTCTGCTCCTCCTTCTTCTGGGTGGTCGTGACGTGCACCTGCCTCGGCTTTGCCATGTCCTTCACGCCGCTGCGCGACCTCGAGGGCGCCGGCGCGAGCAAGATTGCCTCGACGTTCATCTACTTTATGGTCGCCACCATCGGCCTCAAGATGGACTTCTCCGCCATCGCCGAGGACCCGCTCTTCCTCCTCCTCGGCATGATCTGGGTCAGCTTCCACGCGCTCGTGATGATGATCGTCGCGTACTGCATCAAGGCGCCCATCTTCTTCATGTGCGTCGGCAGCCAGGCCAACATGGGCGCCGCCGCGTCGGCGCCCGTCATCGCCGCCGCCTTCCACCCGGCCCTCGCACCCGTCGGCGTGCTGCTTGCGGTGAGACGCAGCCGAGACCTAGCCACGATGGTGCTCCTCACCGTGCTGAGCGCTTGACGCCCCACGTGTGGACAGGTTCTCGGCTACGCCGTGGGCACCTACGGCGCCCCGCCCGCGGCGGCCGCAATCTCTCCGACTGGTACACCGGTCTACACGCTCTCGCCTCTGTGAACAGGAGCGCTCCTGTGCGGCTACATGCTGATGGCGGTGACCCCGGGCCGCGGCGACGGCGACGGCTCTTCAGTTTGCGGAACCGAGGCTACCCTGCGCGAGCTGCTCCGGCGGCCTGTCTGCGAGCGGCGTCTCCTCACAAATACTGGTGCGAACAGGTGGCCTCGCGAGACCTGCTCGACAGCTTCTGGGGGACAGAGTGAGCACGAGGGCGAGTCACGCCGACGCGCGGCGTGCTGCCCCTCTCGATCGCTCCCCTTCCGCCTCCACTGCTCCGAATCGCTCGGCCTTGGGGATCCGCGCTCGGCAGCGCCGGCCCCTCTGGCTCCGCCCGCTCGCGGCGGCGACGCCGTCGGTGGGTGCTGGCGAGGGGGGTGGAGAGGTGAGGCGAGGTGGGCATCTCGCTCGGTGGGCGGTACAGTGTGGTGTGGGATTGGAGGAGAGGGAGGGATCGGACGCACCATTCAGTCGCAGACCCCGACAGACCAGTCTCGAGTCTGCAGTCACGGTACGCACACGTGGAGCTCACGTGGAGCCCCACGTGGAGCTCACTGTGACCGTGTCTGTATGGCGCTTTGTGAAAAAACTGTTCAGTTTTCAAAGGCAAAAACGCCAGCCTACGCCCTCCCCTCACACTGACACTTCTCCCCTATTCCCGTCTTTAGGTTGCGCACATCTCCCAGCGAGCTAGGTTCTCCGCTTTTTCTCCCCTAGTCATCTGCCCGCGCCGCGCGCCTCTGTGGGCGTCTAGTGCAGCCACTGACAGAACTGTTCCAAAGGAGTGGTCAACGTCTCGCCTGAAGTCGGGTGGGCTCGCGCACTGCTTAGCCCTAGGGGAGGGGTGTGTGTGAGGTGTCGGAATGGTAAGGTTTCAGGCCGCCAAGGTGTGGGGGATTTGGGGGATGAGTCAGGAGCCAGCAGCCTTCCTGCTGGACCTGAGTTCACAGCTCCTCCGCCCGACGGGGTGGTCCCTTGGATTCGGGCCCCGCTCCCTTTTCCTGCGCCTGGTCTGTCCCTGTCAAGTGTGTGTTGCGAGATGCAGAGCTGGTTAGGCTGGAGCGCGGGCGGTGCGGTGGCAGGCGAGGGCAGCGCGGTAGGCGAGAGGCGGCCGCGGGGCTTCGAGTGGCGCGATAGGAGGGTAGGCTGGCTGTGGAGGGGCGCCGCGTGGCCTCGGCAAATGAGTAGTGCTTTATGAGCGGCCAGTTTTGTGCGTATTGCATATCGAGCCTGCGGTGTGGCCTAGTTGGTGCAGCGTTCGGGTCGGGGACGTTTTGGTCGTTGGTTCGAGCCCAGCTGGTGCAGTTCGTAGTCGCGTAGCGCGCGGGTGCGCGGCAGCCTCGGCAACCGAGGCGACAGTGGCGAGCAGGGGCGAGCAGGGGCGAGCAGGGGTCAGAGCAGTGCGGCGCGCCGAATCTTTTTCGATGGGCTCGGTCAGTGGGCGTGTCAGGAGGCGGCCGGCCGGGAGAAACTCGGCAGTAAAACTCCCCCTCCGGCCCAGGAGGTGGGAGTGTCACGGAGGCGGCCATTGGCGCGCGCTCCTTGTCTTCGTGGTCCGAGTTTTTTCGTCTCGAAGCTCACGACTGCCCTCCCCCGCCGCAGCCTCGGCGCCTCAGTCGCCCCCTCGGAGGCGCCTCCCTCCGCTAGCGCTAGTCCCTCCCTGTACCGCGTGTCGGGAGACTCTGGACGCAGGCCCGCCCTCTCGCCCGCCGCGGCGCGCTCCTGTCCCACGTGCGCCGACAGACCCCCCCCCCCCCCCCCCAACACACACACACACACACACACACACAAACCAAGATCTCGCCCGCACCGTCGCTGTGCGTCGTGCTCCGCAGCCGCAGGGTCTGCTGCTCTCTCTGCCGTGCTCGCGCGGCGGTCCCGCAGGAACCCGCGCCCTCGCCGCCCGGCCGGGGCTGGAGAGGCTCAGCAGAGGTCGATGCCGCGCTCCTCGCACACGGCCACCAGCTCAGGCTGCTCCTTGTTGTCCACGCGGAGCTCCTGCACGCGAGGGGAGGTGCGATGAGCATTGGGCGGGGGAGGGGCGTGTGGCGAGGGGGGGCGTCTCGCGCCTTCAAGCTCGGGGCGGCCCCCTCCTTGAGGGCGGCGGCCAGCGCCTTGCAGCCCTCGTCGCCAATCTTGTTGCCGCCGAGACGGAGATACTCGAGCCGCGGCGCTGCCCCCTCCTTGCCGAGGGCGGCGGCCAGCGCCTTGCAGCCCTCGTCGCCAATCTTGTTGAAGCTGAGAGTGAGATCCTTGAGCCGCGGCGCCGCCCCGCTCGCGAGGACCTCCGCCAGCTGCGCCGCCTCCGCGTCGCCCCAGCCGAGGCTGTAGTAGCTCAGCTCGGTCGCCTTGCCAAACTGCTCCTTGAAGGCGGCCTCGTACAGCTGCTTCACCAGCGGCTTGTCGTCCTTGCCGTTGGTGAAGCTCTTCTTCTCCAGCTCCGCCGCGAACGCAGACGGCAGCAGCGGAGGGCGCCGGCCGCCGTCCTGGACGCAGTCGTCTCGGAGGCTCCAGTAGTCGTACACCTTGCCGTCGTGCATCTTGCCGAGGTCGAGCGAGAGCTGGCCGGACTTGGTGAGACTGGCCCAGCTCTGCTCCGTGTAGCACCAGCCGCGGTCAAAGTACTTGGCCACGTTGGTGCCCTCGGCCTGGTCCTCCGCCTTGTGGCCGTCCGGGAAGGAGGTCAGCCGCAGCACGCGTGTGCGCTGGTGGGAGTAGAGCGTGCCGAGGCAGCCCAGACCCTGTTTGAAGAGCGCGTTCTGCTCCTCGGTGCGCAGGACGCCGTTGGCGGGGTCGGGGTGCTGGTGCAGCGAGCCGAAGTCCCAAAACACGCCGAGCCGCGGGATGGACGGATGGCTGAGGAGGGCCTTGAGCGCCCTTGCGACGCGGGCGAGGTTGGCTCCGCGCGGGTCGGGGTGGTCCTTGGTCAGCCACGGGTAGGAGAGCGCGGCGACGGGAAGGGCAAACGACTCGGTCGCCTCGACGAGGTCGGCGAAAGAGAGGAAGGCCTCTTTGGGCAGCGCCTGGCGGTGGGTGAGGACGCCGCCCGCCTCGGCGTGGCTGATGACCCACTGCGCGTCGAGGACGGCGACGGCGCCGCTCGCGAGGACCGGCTCGAGGTCGCCACCACCGCGCTTGCGCCACTTCTCCAGCTGCTCCTCATCGACGCCGAGATCGGTGGCGGAGGGGAGGGCGGCGGCCGGCTGCGTCGGCGCGGCGGTGTCGGCGGGCGTCGGGGCGTCGAGTTCGACGGCGGGAGGGCCGAGCGGCTCCAGTTTCGTCTCGCTCACGCCGAGATCGGTGGCGGAGGGGAGGGCGGCGGCCGGCTGCGTCGGCGCGGCGGTGTCGGCGGGCGTCGGGGCGTCGAGTTCGACGGCGGGAGGGCGGGGCAGCTCCTCGGTCGGGGCCTCGACGCGGCTGGAGAAGCAGCCCATCGTGAGAAGTCGATCGACTTGCACAGCAAGGACACAGGTGGAAAAGAATTCTACAGCAAGCCCTCTCACAGCAGACTCGTTTGGCGTGTTTGTTTTGTTTCTTTCTTTCTTTAGACTCGACCGATCTGCTTAACCGCCAATGGCAGTTATCCGTTGTGCGGACGTCGCCGCGGCTCGCCTCTGCCGCGGCGGCTGCTGCGCGCACGCGGCGGCGCCGCTCTCTCGCGAGACGGCTGGTGGCGCGGCTCGCCGCCGACGTACGCTGCGCTCGTCCGACGGTCCGCAGCGTGGCGTGCGCGGCGCTGCGCGCCGCTCTGCGAGCGCTTCTGCGCCTGCACTGCATCTCTCTGTTGCTGCTGAGTTATGTGTACGCCCACTCAGGGTGTGTGGCAGCCAGCTGGCTGTGTGTCTTGTGAGCTTGTTTGTGTCTGTGTGTCGTTCGTGCGTGTCGTCATCATCTGTCCTGCGTCCACCCATACCGCGTTGGTGTCCAGTCCGAGCCTGGCTGTTCTTCACCTTTCTACCTACCTACCTCCCTCATTGATAGGTCAGCGGTGGGAGGGTTGCCACTCATTCTAGAGCATGGTGCACCTACCTACCTACTGGGTACCTCAAGTATCGTAGTCTTTGTTAGTACTCGCAGAGTGTGGGTAAACGAAAGTACCGTATTCGGTACTATCAAGAAAGACACCGAAAAAAGTCGCCGCGGCAGTCCACGACGAGCCAGCCTGCTGCCGGCTCGCACGGCAGCCTCTTCCTATGGACCAGCCTCGACTTCCATACAGTCAACATTTTGTCGCTGCGTGCTCGTGGTGAGCTGTGGCGGCGGTCGAAGTTCGCCCAGATTCGGTGACGAGCGCCGGACGATAGTACCGCCTCTGTTCGCCCTGTGCATGTCAGGCCAGGCTGCAGCAGGGCACTACCAACGTGCTGCCCTGTTGCAGCCTGACTTTGCCCACTGTGCACAGTCGCCAGAGCACCACCACCGCCCGGCATCGTGTCACGGCGAGCTCCTTCTGCGCCCGCTCGCGAGGCTCTCGCGCTGGCACACTTTGGCCATCTGCTGCTCGCGTTCGGCGAGCTCTTCTCCGCACTCCTGCCACGGTGCCGTCACCACACACCTTCTGGCCGGCCTGAGCCGCGCGGGGTCGCCGGCGGGGGCAACGCGTCGACCTCTCTCTCTGGTGCACCACGGGCCGCAACGGCCTGCTAGCGCAGCCGGCGCGAGGAGGCAGTGTGCCGGCACAGTCGAGCCGGAGCATCGGGTTCTTGATGCTTCTGGGGTCAAGTTTGACCTTATGTGGTATAATATGCAACAATAATGCTATGCTCTCACCCAGCCTTTTGAGATATGATCCCTCAAAGTCGAATTTTCGTTTACTGGTGACCATAGTACCGTTTGTCTTGTTTGCGTTTCTTCAAACGAATCCTTTAAAGTCTCGACAATCACTCAGCTGCTTATGTGGCACCGCAGAGGCTCCCTTGGGGATGCCTGAGGCCACCCCAACCACACACTAAGCCGTACGTAGACGAATTTCGCGCTACTTTTTTCGTTTACCCACATTATGCGAGTATCGAGGTCTCGTGAGTTTTGGTCCTGATAAATTCGTGGCGCCCGCGGCGAGCCGAGCCAGGCCACGGCGCTCGGCCTGCTGAGAGAAGACCTTCCCCGACGGCAGTGACAATTTACCCGACATCAATCGTCGACGGCAAGCTCGAGAACTGCGCCTCCAAAGTCGCCCAGATTCGCCTCTCGCGGCGCGCTGAGTTAGTATCGCCGGTGCGCCAGCCGGCTCTGCTCCACAGCAGGGCATGCCTGACTGGCTCCTGCTAGCCGTGCGTCCTGGTGGCATCCATTGCCAGCTCAGGTAGCCTCAGGAGGTCGCCTCGCGCACAACTCGGCGCCGCACAGCACCGCTCCGCGTTACTACCGAGTTAGTATCGTCGACCCACAGAGACTGCTCTTCTGTAGGTGGAGCCGACAAACGCCGGCCGGGTCGGCCCCGCCGACCCCATCGCCGCCGCCGGGGCGGCGGCGGCCTCGGCGGACCATCCGGCGCGCCGCGCGCCCGTCAGGGAGGTGTTCACCACTCCTGGCTCCTCACCCCGCCACGCCTTCGTGCAGACGCCGTGGCACCCGCCTCAGGCGCCGCTCGGACTCGGTTGACGGCCGCCCAAGTGCTTGGCTCGTGCCCAGCCGACCGGCAGGCGATGCCCACTCGCTGCTAGGCTAATCCCGGGCTGTCAAGCGGCGGTGTGGTGCCGTGAAGGGCAGCGGTGCCAAAACTACGACTATTAAATAAATAAATAAATAAACCGGACACCTCTACTAGGAGATGGGTAAAAAGGAACAGGTCCCCGCCCTGCGGTCTTTGTGCAGGGTTCTTTGTGGGTGTGGTCGGCGGCTAGCCGGGGTCTACGACTACGACTATTAGTACCGTGCGGGGGCAGTGCATTTAATTCTGTCAAAAATCGAAATGTGCTCCGTGGGACGTATTGGGCTAGGATCATACGTCCGGGAGGCCCCCCATGCGTGCCGCAACGACCCACAGTTCTGGTACCACTCTCTTCACGTTCACAGCTCTTAAGTGTCGCATAACTCCGATACATGAGGTACTCCCTTAATGTAAATAAATAAATAAAACGGACACCTCTACTAGGAGATGGGTAAAAAGGAACAGGTCCCCGCCCTTGCGATCTTTGTGCAGGGTTCTTTGTGGGTGTGGTCGGCGACTAGCCGGGGTCGTCCTCCCTATGGGGGACTAGCACTAGCCGTCTTCCACATGGTCCCTCGGGTCCCTGCTGCTCCTAATCTCTTCGTACATCCTCCTGCTGATCTCCGCAACGTCCTGCTCCCTCCCTCGTCTCGCCCTGCGCGCCTGCTCCGCCTCACCGTCGTCTGCCCTGCGTCGTCTGGCGACGGGTCCTCCATAGTCGTCACGAGGACCAATAGCCTGACCTGTATCGAGAAGCTTCACCTATTATTTTCCCCTCCCCACCCCAGAGTGATAAATTAGGTGCCCTGTAGGCTTGGCTGCAAAGGGGATTTTTGTTGTGCCGACTTCGATCTTCGTGTGTGCTCCGCTTCTGAGAGAGAGATTTTTAGCAATACCAAACAACTCTAACACTCACACGTAATTTGGGGCCTGGAGCCCTGTTCACGCGCGCGCGAGCTTTTGTGTCCGCTTCTGAGAGAGAGATTTTGAGACATGAGAGAGAGAGAGACAGACAGAGAGAGAGAGAGAGAGAGAGAGAGAGAGAGAGAGAGAGAGCCGAGATAGAAAGAGAGAGATTTTGAGTGAGACGGTTTACGTTTAGAGAGAGAGAGAGAGAGAGAGAGAGAGAGAGAGAGAGAGAGAGAGAGAGAGAGGGAGGGAGGGAGGGAGTACTTGGAGCACTTGGAGTGCAGTCATTAACCTCACATCCAGGGCCGGGGAGTACAATTCTTTCTAATTTTATTTCGCCTCGAGCTGTGCTTAAAAGTTAAATATCTCTCTACAACCTCCAATCCCCGTCCTTGCTTGCGTCCCCCCATCGCATGCCGGTGTGTCCAGTCGCTGGCCAGCCTCTTCTAAACCAACACTCCCGTTTCCCAAGAAAAGAAAAGTCCAAGCCTTCCTCGATTTCCGCGAGCGGCGTCTCACAAAAAGCCTAGCCGTCCCGGCGCAAGAAAAGCCTTGCCGCCGAGCTGTCATTCCTTCTGCAGGCCGCGTGCAGCGACGCGCGAGTCCTGGCGGCGCAGCCGCCCCGCCGTGCGGACCATGGCCAACCAGCCCGTCGACGCGCCCGACGACGTGACCTCAGCCGGTAAGTGTCGAGAGCGCCCCCCGGCCAAAAGTCGACGATCCTCGCTCGCCGCCTCGCCCCTTCCGGCGGCGCGGCGGCGCCCGCGACGGGCGGCTCGCCCCACGGCGCACCCCGCCGCCGTAGGTACTCGAGGTGCTCGCCCTCCAACGACGCCGCGGGGGCGGAGGGCCGCGACCCGCTGGGCCGGCTGCCGCCCCCGCGCCTGCCGCCCCCGCGCCGCCCCCGCGCCGCCGTCGGCGGCGTCCAGCGCAAGCGCCGCCGCCGCGTCGCGCGCCGCGCGGGCAGCCTCGACGGACCAGAAGCCGTGCTCGTCGTACCCGGCGTCCCACACGCCCAGCGAAGGGCTGAGTGCCGTCGCGAGACCTCGGCACGCCTGCGCACGCCTGCGCACGCGGCAGAGCGACAGCAGCACCACCCTCGTCGGGCGCCCACGAAGCGTACTCGCGGGTCGCCGCTCCGTCGACCGAAGGCCGAGACACTTGTTTCGACGCCACCCCGCCCCCGCCCCACGGGTCGGGAACCGATATCTCGGAGGACGACCTAAGGAAGAGCGTGGCGCCCCGTCGCCGGGGGAACGGCCGCTCGTGCTCTCCCCCCAGAATAAGGGAGGGGGGGGGGGGGCTTCCCCCC